GTGCCTTTCTCTAGCTAATTATTGAATATCCTACCTAGTAAAGTCACTTTAGTATAAGCATCAAATCATTAGTCTTAAGATAATAAATATACACCTTTTACATATCAAAAACTTGAGGCACAGAGAGAAAAAATTATATTTGCATATAAAGAAATAAAAGAATTAGTATTTGCTGCCTCCAGATTTTCTGGAATATCACCTGCCACCATGGGCAGGTATGATATTGGACAATACATTAAATATACCAAGCAGAGTAGAAAGACCTTGTTCTTGAAGAGCTCAGTCTCAATACATCATGAGTAACAAACTACAGTACAGTTACTGAGAGACTGCTGTCATTATTACAGGGGTCAAAGAGGTGGAAAGATCTTTTTTACTTATTTATTTTGGCTTGTGCGCAGATATAAGGGCATGGAACTTGACCACTGATTCTCCAAAAGAGATAGGACTAGTTTGATACAAATCTCTCTACAATATTGGAATCATCCCACAAACACCAAATTTACATTAAAACACCATGATTTACAGAGAGCCACAAAAAATAATTTGGAGGAAGTTTATAGGAAGGAAGGCTTTGAGAACTGAACCAGAAAAGGTGCTTGAAAGTAAATCAAATTATGGCATACATTGAATTATGGCATTTATTATTATGTGCAGAATATGCATGGAATTTTGAACTAAAAGCTGAGAAGTAAAGGTCTAGAAACTTTCATGCATAGTAAACAAATTAACTCTTTATTCTATTCTCTGTACTCCCTATGTTTGGTGATTTGTTCATACAAATGTACACTAAAAAGGGCTAACAAACCATGTTCTGCCATGGGTGTATCTACTTATTTGTGTGCGTGATTAAAACGTATGCCTCTGGGAGAGTTTTTTTAGTATCATATAGACACAGTATTTCAAAGGCTGAAAATTCTTTGGGAAAAGGAGAGGAGTTGTGTCTGTTTATGACTGTCAAACTTTCCTCAACTTATTAAATTATAAAATCCTCTGTCCTTTTCTTCTATAATTTGAAGATTACTCTAATAACATGTTTGGAGATGAAAAAACCTGCCAAATAAGTCAAGGTCTAGTAACTAGGTGAATAACTTCTAAAATCCATGAGTTCGGTATGCTATACCATTCAAGACCTAGTCTCATTTTCTACCCTAAAAGGTCAGAGTTTTCATTGGTGTTTTTAATGCTGGAAACTACATAGTATAAGGAAATCAGTTCATCATGAACAGGTCATCAGCTCTTGAAATATCTGCCCATGAGAAAAAAAAAATATGATTGGAATCCTGTCACCAAGGAAATGGTTTTAAAATCTGTTTATTTCAGTGCCAAACAAAAATCTTAGCTTCAACTAGTTATCTTTATTTTGCAATGACTTTAATTCTTTTGCCCATTCATTCGTTTACTACATGGCTACTGTATACTGATCATTTAGGGGTAAAAAAGCACCCTGAATGATTATGCAAACTCTAAATATAACTATATGTTTGTGTGTGTTCATGTGCTTTCTAAAGAGCACATTTGTGACAGGCAGTGAAGAATAGCATAGTCGGGGAAAAATTAAAGAGACACGATATAATTATCTGAACTGGAATTAAGCCAATTAATAACCCGTGTGCTAACACTATCCTCAAAGTGCTGAAAATACCATCAGATATTTTAATGCCCTGAGTGGTTATGGTCAGCAATCTTTACCACATCCATTTTCAACACCGTGCAGAGACATGGCTCACCCTGGCTTCTGACAAAGGGCTGCACCTAAAGTGAGCTACAGGAGAGGTACAGATTATATAATCAAAGCACAAGGTTCATTCAACTGATTGTGTACAGGTTTTTACTTATTTCTGATGAAATCAGAACACTGGTGTTTTATTCATTCACTCATTCATTAAGCACATATTTACCGAATACCTACTGTGTGCCAGGATAGCACAATGACTCAGGATGCAGGCTTTCTTTCGAGTCAGATTCTCTGGATTTAATCAGCTCCACACTTACTAGCTGTGTGATCTTCAGCAAGTCACATAACCTTTCTGTACCTCAGTTTCCTTTTCTATGAAATAGGGATATTGGTAGTACCTAATTCATAGGGTTGTCATTACACTAAAGTATGATTAAAAAATATAAAGCACTTAGCAGAGTTCTTAGCACAAATCAGGTGTTCAGTAATATGTTGTCCATCATATTATTATTATGAGCCAGGAATTTTACTAAAGTCTGGAAACAAAGAAAATACATCCTCAGATGACCTAACATCCATAAAGTTTAGATTCCAAAAATTTAGGGTTCTAAACTTTATAATTTCTCCTGCCAACTCTTTCTAATAGAGGTCTGTATATTAGGTTTCTGCTTTATTTACTAAATGCTTTTGTGTCTTGAACCTGCATGGTTTGAATATAATACACTCAGCACATCCATAACATACAATTCTGTTCATTTACACCCTTCTGTTATGCCTTCCTCAATAATAACTAGTGTGTAATGACTAGCTGTGTTATATGTTATATATGTTAGCTCATGTCACCCTCAAAACAACCTTATGGGACCATTATTATCACCTTTTACAGATAGGAAAATTGAGGTTCTGAGAGTAACTGTGACTTAGGCAGTGTTATAAAGATGTGTTTGCTTCAAAGCTCATGCCCTTTTTACTCAGTTCACCAGCACACATTTAGTAGGCACTTTTCACAGTTCTGCACTGGACTCTTATCTTTTAGGTACTTTGGGACTTGCAGGAGGATCTGCCAATGTCAAAATCACAGATTCCTCCCCACATTTCCCTGGCAAATTGAATGACTATGGACCATGGGTTTTAGGCATATCACAGCAGCCATTGTTAGAGAGGTTGGTGTGCAAGTAAAGTAAATTACTCTAGCTGTGACTTCTCTAAGGATTACTTGCTTTTGAGTGGGCTCCCAGGTGCCTGACATTTCTTTCAGTTTTCTTCGTTCACCCTAAGTAGCAACATCGTTACTGAAGCATGACTGAGAGACATTTTTTTGCTTTAATGTACGCCATGATTCTTGTTTTAGGACAAGAGACTTAATTTCTCCAGTAACATCTTATGGCACTCTTCTTTGCATAAGCCCCTCTTTTCTTCTTAAAAAAATGCACCCTCATTTACCTGTTGTCAAGAGAGAATCCTTACCGAATATGATCATATGTGTCTCCAAAAAAGATACCATCGGATTCGTGGCCAGGTAGTAAATACAGTTTCTTCTTTCTATTTTAGCAGCTTGTTTTCAATTGAAATATACCTGAAAAGTTATCCTTAGCTAATCTTCCAGGTAGAAAATCTCATCAGTGATTTAAAACTACATTATAAGCAGAAAGACTCAATCTCTTTCACCCACAGTGTGCCTATATTTTAGAAATGAGTTGTATGAGAAAATCACATCTTCTTACAGGGGGATATATAGTACATAATGTTCATAGAGCAAACTGTAAACTCTGGGTGAGGGCTTTGTAGATCTATCCACTAGCCTTCATTAGCTTGGAAATATGGCATGCTATACCTTGCTGAGATGGGGCCTCTACAATGTTCTATTTCCTTACTCTTCTCTAAGAATAAATTAACGACTTAAATTCCTTATCCCTAGCATTCAAAATGAACAAAAAAAGTATTTCCAATTGCCTATTTAGACATTTTGAAAAATTGGAGGTTTGTGCACTAACTGTATATAGATGGAGGAATCTTGTTATTGTGGAGGCAAGGATGATTTCCATACCTGTTGGGCCAGCATCATTAAAGAATACTAGAGGTTAGCTAGTATAATGGAAAGAGCACTGGCCTGGTGGGCTCCTGGAGCCTGGGTTCTAGTGTCATCATTGCTGTTATCTTTGTGATTTATTACTCTGAGTCTCCGGGCCTCAGTTTCCTCATCTGCTAAATTGGGAGTTGGAGAGATGGATCCCTGGGGCTTCTTCCAGCTCTGTATTCTCTGGGTCTGCAAATTGCCTTCAGTGTCTGCCATAGTCTGCCTTGCCAGCTCTGTTTGTCACAAAGATTAATCCATTTTAACTGTACCTTGGAGTACACCCGGGAGAGGAGGATGAATGGATTGTTTTGCACCTATTATTGCATCAGAACTTTTGCCTTTTTAGACAAGATCGTGCTGTACCTAAAATCTGTCTGCCTGTCTGCCCACTGACTTTGTCTGTGCTGATCTCTTGCCATGGTGCCTCTTCTTCCAGCATCCATCTCCCTCTAAGATCTATATTCGGCATCTGACTGTACCTGTCTTGTTCTCTGCAGCATCTGTCTGCTATACTCCTAGACCATCATTAATAAACTTTCACACATTACACACAAACCCCTAATATGTTGGCACCTGTACATAAATATCTACAGTTCATAAAACTAGGAGAGAAAACTCCATTTTTTTAAAAGACCTCTATCTAGTGCCATTTGTATTTGCACTTTTTGTTTAGTTGTAAGTTTTAATAGTTCCCCCTTTGAGGATTTGTCAGTACGAGCAGTATTGCTTATCAGAACACACCAACAGTCTTTTTGTAATATTCGCTTTTCCCCTTTGGTTCAGCCGAGCCTGCTGACAGATCATTCAAATTCAATTGTTTTATGTCTAAGCCGAACAGCTAATTAAAGTAGGGATGATTAACCTGACTGGCAGTGCCGCTCTTCCTCTCGCACTCTCTCTCCCTCTCCCTTTCTCTCTCTCTCCCTCCTGTTCCAATCAGTCTTTTTCTCACACTCTCTCTCTCTCCTTCCGTGTTTCTCTCTCTCTCTCTCTCCTCTCTCTCTCTCTCTCTCTCTCTCCCCCTTCCTCCCTCCCTCTCTCTTCCTCTCTCAGTCTCTCTCCCTCGGTTGGTCTCTCTCTCTCTCTCTCTCTCTCTCTCTCTCTCTCTCTCTCTCTCTCTCTGTCTCTTGCTCTACTGTTTTTTTTTTTTTTTTTTCCTCTCTCTCTCTCCTAAACGTGGTCTGCTTGCTGATGGCAGAATGGCACTCGGAGATTTGTGCATTGTGTCTGGTTTCCTACGGGCAGGCTGACCCAGTGCCTCCAGGGACTTATCAATAGACCACTCAGAAGAGACACAGACAGGAGAGAGGAGGAGGGGTGGGGGGAGAGAGAGAGAATCAATATCAAGAATAGAAGGAGCTCCGAAGCCATTTTTTTTTTAAAGAAGTATCGGGACTTGGGAGAGGGTGACAAAGAAGGTTTTTCAAAGAGGCAGTGGAGGAGGTTCTAATAAATTTGGAAGGAAACAGTTCCCTGTCTTGGGAAAAGGAGAACTCCTGACTGATTAGCATTCACACCAGGTATGAGATGTTCGCTACCCCTTATCACTGTGTCGCAACCGAAATGGAAAAAGCCTTTTTTTTTTTTTTTTTTTTTTTTTTTAGGAGACTGAGGGAGCATGTATTTTGCTGTGTTTGTTGTTGGGGGGTAACAGGGGCGGTGTGAGAAGCTGTGGGCATTTGTGTATGGGAGCAGAAAGAATGGAAGCAGTACAACGGGGGGGTGGGAAAGAGTATGGAGTATGTTACTGTCTACCCTGTCTTTGTGCACCCCTGGGGGGTTACCCAAGTTCATTTCTAGCAGGTGGATTTAGACGGGAGTTACTTAACGCTTGACCGCCAGTTTTGAAAAAAAAAAAAAAGAGAGAAAGAAAAAACGCTGCTTCCTATGTCTATTAAAGGAAGCTCCAATTTCTCTCTCTCTCTCTCTCTCTCTCTCTCTCTCTCTCTCTCTCTCTCTCCCTTTTTCTCTCTTCTCTCTCTCTCTCCCTCTTCCTCTCTCTCTACCCCCCCATCCCTCTTCCCCTCTCTCCCTCTCCCTCTCTCTTCTTTTTTTTCCTCTTCTAACCAGACAGCGGGAGGGTTCCTGGCTCCCAGCCAGCCCAAAAGCCTCTAAGTGTTTTGCACTTGTTTCAGGGAGTAGCTGCCCGGGGATTTTTCAGCATTTTCACTAGAGAACAAAGAGTTCTTTACAAAGGGAAGAGGGGGGGTAAGTGAGCTTAATGTCTGATATATGTTTTTCTATTTTTATTAGTTTTTCACCTAAAAAGAAAGAGACAGGAACAGAACATTCACTCTATAAAGACACAAAGACATTCAAAAGAAATCCAGTTATCTTTTCTCCCCATCACCCCAATATATATACATGAAAAAATTAAAAAGAAAAGACTAATTAAGTTGGATATGTTGCTCTTTTCTCCTCTTTAATCTTTCTAAATCCAACTGTTCTTATGCTTACTCTATGCTATTTTTTTTTTTTCTGCTTGCAATAAAAGTTGTTCAGGATACATCTCTTATCATCTCTTTACCCTTTCTGGGTCCCCAAAATCTTGTGAAGGAAAGAATAAGAGTCCATCAAAGAATCAGTTTAGTGGCAATAACATCTTCTACTTTTGCCACTTGAGTAAAAAGTTAATTACGGAATGTAGGTTTCCAAAATACCAGTGGGGTACATCAGTTCATTCGATCTCACAAGTTTTTGCATCCATCTGTTTAAAAGGTACCACTTGTGTCACTTGTCAGTTATTATGAAAAGGCAGAAAGGGAGCGGATATTTGTATTTTATTTTTGTCTCAAATTACATAAATGACAAAACCCCCAGAGAGATTACTTGCCCCATCCATGATACACTAGTCCAAGCAAAATACAGTCTAGACGGAGATTTTTCATCGATTCTGATTGCCACGTAGCTTTGTGTTCTCCTCTGATTTTTTGCCTATGCATGTATATTTTTACCGTGAATTTGTGTCTGTAGCAAACATTCCACAATGCTGATCATTTTCAAATTAATGCTCCAACAAAAGAAAAAATAAATTAGGATGTGAACTCTATGTACAAAATGTAGTAAATAGTTATATCTTTTATCTGTGCTGCACATTTATATCTTTAAACTAATATCCTTGAATTATAAACCCAAGAAAATGTTTTCTTTCTAAAAGTTCTCCTCTCAATGCATTTGTATTTTGATTGTCATTTGGAAATATTTTTAAGATATGTAATAGACACAAAACTGAACAAGGGGAAAAATTCACAAGCACCCCAAAATTCTTAAATATATATTATGTATAGTGCCTAACTACACATAACTATTTTGCTCAGTGGAAAACAGCTACAACAGTTATTTCAAGAATCAGAAACTTTTTTTTTCTTCCATTCACTGAAAATATAATCTATTCATATCCCTGGGGAGGGAAACCGTAGAAAAAAAAATGTAAAAACATACATTTTTCCGTATTTATAGAATGTATTTATGTAACTGCTTCTTAAGGGTGTAATACATATCAGGGCAGACTGTGATGCCTCGTCAGTAAACCCTCCTGGCTGGGAGGTGTGAGTGCCTTCTGTTTGAAGTAACTTGATAACAAGGAGTCTTTTCGGGAAACCTTACTATGTATGTGTTGCCTCAGTAATGACCCTCAGAGAAAAAACAAGTACTAGGTGGCCACTGTTAGCACTTGAACTCGCTGACAGATATTAAAACTAGGGGAACTTCTGGCAAATCCAAAATTTTCCTGGGTAGCTCCCTTCTTATACTTACATGTTTTCTTCAGGAAAATTCTTCAATTGCCTTCAGACTTTTCTATATTGCTGTAAAATTTTTAATGCTTTTAATAATGTCTAAGGAGAAAAAGATCCTTAAAAAGAATATTGCCAAAATAAAAGAAACTTGGTCTTTAAAAAGTTTTATATTGAAGTCAAGAGCTTCTTTCCCTTTTTGTTTGTTTTTGATTTTTCGCCCCCAGAACTCTTTTGTTGCTGTGAGCTGTTATACCTGAATTTTTGTTTTTTGTTTTGTCTTTTTCTTTCTTTCTTTCTCTCTTTTTGGTCTCTTTCTGATGTGACCAAGGTGGCTTTTGAAAGGGGCAGAGAGACTGGGAGTAACATTTTGTTACTGAGAACTACACTAACTCCTCTTGATCCCAACTCAGGTAGTTCCTATCAGCTAGTTGTGCCGCCAAGAGTACAGTGACAGGTGATAGCTGTCATTCTGGGATTCTTCGTGGATCTGACCTGAGAGTAACACATTCACAGTTGAGGAGAAAAGGGAAAAAAAATAGAGGAGGAGGAAAGAAAAGCTCTTTGAGCTGGAATACACTGGCCCTTTCTTCCTGTAGGCAGTCCGCTCCAGTTCTTGGCGACGTGTCCTGCACTATCAGATATCATATGACTTTTTATTTAGATTCCTTTTCGGAGAATGGCCTGTTAGGACTCTGTTTGTTTTCCTTTATTTAATTTCCTTCTCCCCTCACCCGCTAGTTTTGTGTATCTGTGTGTGTCAGAGAGTATGTGTGCACACATGCATATGTGTGTGCAATTTTTATCTGTTTTTGTTCTGTTGATCTGATGCTTTATTTAAGGACAAAGCTTTAATTATTTCAGTATACTCGTTTAATCATTTGCCAAAAAAAAAACCTCATTCTAGGCTTTTTTGGGGGGTCCATTTTTAAACACATCCATTAACACATGAGGCTGAAGATCCTAAATGCTTGCTAGCCGGCCCTTGGCCCACGCCCTCTCCTTAATTTAACCCTCCCCCTCATCAGCACGCACAGCAGTATAGGTTAGGAAACACCTGTGCTGAGTCAAGAGGGGAAATAAAAGTAGAAGCAACTTCTTCAAATCTGCACTCCTAGTTTCACTTTAATAAACTTTTTTTTTAATTGTTGATTTTGGGGGAGGAGGGCACCTTCTGTTGGGCTTGAAAGCATCAGAGATAGTGAACGATGTGTCTGTGGAGCTTTTGTGAGGCCAGCTGAGCACCCCTGGAAAGTAGAACAGGAGCTGAAATTCATTCAGAGACTTAAGAATTAAGAGATTTAAATAAGATCTGTGAGATCTGTGGGCCGTTCAAGGTTTGGTGATAGATGCTGAAATGGAATACTTAGGGATACTCAGGGAGGAGGAGAGAAATTCCCCACCAGAATTAACACAGTCATACTCCTGTAGTTAGTAACTTTAAAACCTTATTTAATCAATCTTTTAGTTTGTGCATCTCTAAATTTAACCAGTCAATATGTGATTGGCTTCCTCTCTATGCTTGCTATGAAAAACAGATGAATTATACTAACATTATTACCGGATTTCTCCTTAATTTTTGATGTATTTCCTTTTCAGTTTTGAAGAGTACAGAATTTAGTTAGCAAAAGAAAAGCAGAACTTCTCTAGTTATGCATATGGTTGTATACACATTATTCTTATCTACACATAACATATCCTGTTTGTATCAGGATATATTTTTGTATAGTAACACGCAAGACTGCCTTGAAGGTTCAGATGACCATTACATTTTTTAAACCCATAGTTTTCAGTTTCTTGTTACTTTCTTTAAAATTATGTTTTACAGACCTTAAATTTGTAATGCTTTATCCTAGCCAAAGGTGAATTTTACTGAAACTTGAAGAAAAATTAATTCCACCCCTTTTAAGGGTACCCAAAAGGGAAGGGAGAACTATTTTTTGTTCAACAAAAAATTTTAGAAGGCTTTTTCTCCAAGCGGAAAACTCCAAAACAGCTTTGTCTCAGAACGTTAAACTTGGCATGGATAAGAAATTTGAGTTTTGCTTTGTTTGAGGAAATTTGTTTTTGAAACAACAATGTTATAAATATTTTTAAATTGCCTACTGAGCATGCGCTCTATCTGACTTTATTCATAGTTTTAAACACTCACCAAAGTGCAGTCTTCTGAATGGCCACAGGTAAGGCTGTTGATTTGTATGATCTTTCTGAGAGGCACCTTCAGTGAGTCTACTCAGTTTTCCAGAAGGGCAAGAGCTGAGTTTTGACATCGACAACCTTCTAAATATCATAGAGCAAAAGTAAATTGCCCCATTAAGGCTTGCACAGTATACTTAGGGTAAGTACTATTTATTCAACTTTCCTTTCTTATAGGAGTTGTGTGCCTTAACTTTTCAGCTTAATACTAGCAGAGTAAAATTAAGAAAAAATTGAACTCATTGAGGCATTTGACTGAAATAGAAAATTTGCAGATTTTTAAGGACAACTATTGTGCATAAATTTGGGGATACGAGAATTTGCCATTGAAATGATAGCAGCTCTATGCTTACAGAGCAAAGATATGCTAGTCTGAACATGCCTGATCTCATCTGGAATCGAAAGCTAAATCTAGGTGGGCCTGTAATAATACCAGAAAAGGAACACAAGTATCTTTTGTGCAACCTTCTTTTTTTATTTTATTTTTTTAATTTAAAGCCAGGCTTGCAAAAGGAATGACAAAGAAGTAGCTTCTCTTGCTTGATAAGTAGTCATACTTTGCTTCTGGAGAAAGATATTTCGAGTTGTTT